TGCACAGAATATCTACAAAAGAGATCACATTGTTAAAGGTAGGAATGAAAGCAAGTAATGACAGCTAGTTATTTTATTTTATTTCTTTAATTCAAGGAAAACAGAAGGCACAGCTACTAGCTAAATTAAGAAGAATAAGATGAAGACATATGGATAGACGGGATTGAGCCCTGGGGAAAGACAAATCAGCCTTTAGCATCCTGGAGTGAGGAAGAGCAAACTGATGGCCCATATGTCCTCATTCGACCACAGGAGAGAAGAGGAAGGATTCAGGGTGATGAGTGACATCCTGCACCAAGCACGTTTAAGGCCATGCTGTCAAGTGGGGCCAGCTCAGCTGCACTGGGATGTCCTGCTGGGGATGCCTCCCAAACAGAGCAAACAGGGATGCCTGTCTTCTCCTAGAGTAACATTAGAACACAGGACATTGCAGGGCTTTCCAGAAAGAATTTCACAGCCTTCCAGGAAAAACAATGGTTTTGGTGTTCAAAATTTCATGAGTTGCTGATCAAAAAAGGGAAGACTGTATCAGTGGGGGACAAGAGGTGGAAAAGAGAGCATCCCAGGGGCACCACAACGTCCAGGGACACCATAGAGATGAGAGCCATGGTGATGACATACATATATGGGTTTTCATCCTTTGTCTCAGTGCCAGCAAGAATATTTAGAGTTTATCAAAATTCTTAGGTTGTTACTGGTAAAATAACTGTATTTGAGTTTAGTAGCAGAGGAGCTGTGGGGGTGGCTTCTGTGAGAAACTGCCAGAAGCTTTCCCCGTGTCCAATAGAGCCAATGCCAGACAGTTCCAAGACAGGTCTACTGCTAGCCTTGGCTGAGCCCATCAAGGACAGTGCTAGCACCTCTGGGGTAACAGAGTTAAGAAAGGGAAGGAAAAACCTGACAAAACAGCAAATGGAGACAGGAGTGGGAATATGTGAGAGAAACAGCCCTGCAGACACCAATGCCAGTGAAGAAGGAGTGGGAGGGGGTACTCCAGGAGCAAATGGATGCCAGAAGGAGGTTGTGACCACGTGGGAAGCCTATGCTGGATCAGGCTCCTTGCAGAACCTGTGGCCCCATGGAGACAGAAGCCCAGCTGGAGCAGGTTTGCTAGCAGGACTTGTGACCTCACCAGGGACCCACACTAGAGCAGTTCATGCAGAACTGCAGCCATGGGAAAGATTCATACTGGAGAAGTTCATGGAGGACTGTCTCCCGTGGGAGGAACCCCATACTAGAGCAAGGGCAGAGTGTGAGGAGTCCTCCCTCTGAGGAGGCAGCAGCGGCAGAGACAACTTGTGATGAACTGACCACAGCCTCTATTCCCTATCCCCCTGTGCCACTGCTGCATAGAAGGGAGAGAAAATCAGGAGCAAGGTTGAGCCCGGAAAAAAGGATGAGGTAGGGGGGGAAATGTTTTTAGGATTTCATTTCATTTCCATTGTCCTACTTTGTTATTGTGGTGGGTTGACCCCAGCTGGATACCAAGTGCCTGCCAAAGCTCTATCACTCCCCATCTCAGCTGGACAGGGGAGAGAAAATATAACAAAAGGCTCATGGGTTGAGTTAAAGACAGGGCAAGATTAGTTTAATTTACTACCAATCAAATCAAAGTCAACATTTTCTTTTTCTGTAGGATTTTTTTCCCCAAAGTTCTTTGGTTATTTTGAAAAGACATCAAGTATGTGGCACCTGAATTGGCACCATGTTATGGTGCTGTAAAGCCATGGAAAAGCAGAGCAGGTGCCCAGTCTCAGTAGCCCTCACAAATTTTTGTTCGGGCCATCATGGAATTCAAATAACTATTTGGAACACTTAGAAAATGAAGATGAAATGCATAAGGAACCATAAGAGACTTAGAGAAAGGCACACAGCATGACCAAAGCCTTCTCATTTTTAATATTCCTATTTCTCCTTCTAAACTTTTTCTTTAAACTGAAAAATAATGAGAAAATGTGCTTCCTTGAGACAAGCCAGTACTATCAGCTAAACAACCTCACATTCACCGTAGCACTCCAAGTGCTCTGGAATGCTTTTCAGCCTGGAGGATAATAGTATTAGACGACCAGAAAGGCTGTCCTGTAAAAGACTGTTATTATGATTTCCAGTCTCAGAAGTTGGCTTAATCCAGCTGAGCACACACATGTTATTTAGAGAGGAGACTGGGCTCAGACACTTGTATCATCATCATCTTTATTGCAAATGAAGGGTTCAGCCAGTGAAAGGCAAGTCACGTTTTTTTGTCCTAAGCCCTGCAAACACTGGCTGTTGCACTCATCTTTGCACTCTGCAGCAAGAGTCTGGAGCTGCTGAATGCTGAGCTGTTTGCACAGATTTGCATCTGTCTAAAAAATCCTGTTTTCTCTCTTGTCACCTAATCAATCAAATGGCAAAAGATGCACTCTCTGCACCCTCCAAGGAAAACAGCTCTGTGCCCACACAAAAGGTAAAGCATGAGCATAGGGGTTAACGAGACGTGGTGAGATGTGAACCGTGTAACAGGAACATTTTTTTTCTTTTCTGTCTGCCTGAAATTTCATGCTGCTCTTCTGTCTGTGGAACAAAAGAAGAAGAGGCAATGATGCTCAGAGTTGGGAAAAAAATAATCTGGGATTGTTCCCTGCATGAGAAAAATATGTTTGGAAGATTACTTGAGGGATTTGTACCTTGACTTGAGCAGGGAATGCTGCACAGCTTCTCTCCTGGTGTTTAGGCAAAACAGCTCCCTCCCAAAGGACCAGTTCGCCCACCCACACCTTCCCAGGTGAGCAGGACCCAACTCACACCCCAGCCATCCAAGGACTGGCAGTTGAGCACCAGTCCCTGCAGATCAGCTCGTAAATGGCATCATTGCTTGGAATTGTTGGAATCTGCCCATGCCAAAACCCAACAGGGTCACTACTGCTCCATCAGTGGGGGGGGGAGGGGGGGGGGGAGCCCTCTGACCCCATCCTGTTTGCCCCAGGAGGGATATTGCACTTCATTACACAGCACCTGGAGTGAAGGTTCCTCTGTGAATATCCAGCATGACTGAATTCCACCTATTCAGTCTTTCACCAATATTGTCTTTGCTGACATTCCTCCTCAACACCACATCCCGAGCTGCACTTTTGCTTGTCAAAACAGCTTGGGTGACTGTCCTTCCAGTCACCTCCCAAAGAAGGAGCCACTGGGCACTCAGATGAGTGTCAGGATGGGAGGGGCAGCAGCTTTCCCACCTCAGTCTCAGGGGAAGCAGCTCAAACAAGTTGAAACCCCAATGAGCATCATCTCTTCCCAGGCAAGCACTCTTTCCCTGGCACATTTTCCCGTGGGAGACAAGCACAGGGGCCTTAAAATAAATCTGTCTTTTTAAAGCAGCAATGCTAAATGAAGGTTTGAGATCAAAGACTGGGATTCTCACATTTTGCCAAGACAGACATATCCATTCACGAGATTTTTGGTGTAACAAAATACTTGCTAATGAAGAGGATCATAATCTTATTATTAGCCCCAACCTAGCACAGTATGTCATTTGAGAGCAGGCTGGAATATGTCCTAGTTTAGGAAGTTGCACAGTAGGCTTTGCTTTTGATTTAATGAGCTGTGATTGTGTTTATTTTCAGCAGAAACTATGCCAGTTAAATTTTGGTTGAAGGTCTGATCGTTAACGACAGTAATCGACGGGAAGGATGAATTTGGGTTCAAGGGAAGGAAAATGGAGACTGTATGTCTCTGATAGTCAGTCACCAAGCACGCAGACTCAAAGCTGCCAGCAGGCTCTAGATGATGGGTTTTAAACTACTGGTCAAGTCAGTTAAGGGGATTTAGATACGAAAAAAATAAGATTTTTGCAGTTATGGAGTGGGGCACAGAGAAGAGGCAGGTGTAGGAAATCAACTGTGGGGGCCAAACTTGCCTCTCGAGGGATGAGCCATGGTGGGATGAGGTCATCAGCTGGCCTCTGCTATCAAGATCCCAGAAATTTTTAAATGGGGGGACATGTCAGTAGTGTGCAACAACTGAACAAAACAAGACAGACAAGCAAAATGGAGAAGAAAGGGGAAGGGGAAGAGAAATATAAATGGAGATGCATACTTTGAAAAAAAAATGCTACAGCAGATCTAGTTAGTGTAGGCACTGCTCTGCAGTTAGATGGGGCCCCATGTGGCAGGCTTTCCCCAGATTAACAGCCCCACCACAATGCAGTGCTGTTGCCTGTCTGGATAGCTGGAGCTGGGCCACTGAGCAAGAAAGGCAGAGCAGGACAGGTCACAACTCAGACATCCCCCCTTCATGCTCTTTTTGCAGTCGTTATTTTTTTCTCAGCTTCCAGCCTGGTGAAGGATGCTGTGCTTGGTGTTTGACACCATCAGCCCCAAATGGATCCAGCACAGTTTATTTTCCAGCATCAAAGTGCACACGCAGACACATGCATGAGCATGGATGTACAGGCAGGACATCCATATGGGGCATGAAAGAAACACAGACATGGACAGACACATGAATAGACACACATAGCCAGTTGTAGCCCTTAAAAGCTTGCCATGTACAATATCAAGATGAGTAAACAGATGCAGGTAAACATTACTTTCAAGCAAAATTTCCTATAATCCTACTGTACTTCAGATGCTCAGAAAACAAAACAAAACAAAAACTGAGCATGTCAAATTACAGGAAACACAGGAAATCTGAGAGATACATCCACTTCAGAGGTAAAGGCTCAAGGTATCCATGACCTTAATAAATGAAAATTTTTAAAAAACACTTTGTAGCATTTCCTCCTCAAGTCAAAGGCAAATCCTTTGCCCCTGCTAAGCCTGTAGCAGGCCTGGGCTCAATGTTCCCTTTCCCAGGCTGTGCCCAGCCCGGACACGAGGCTGTTGCCTTGTGCCAGGCAGCGAGGTGTTTAGCAGAGCAATCACCGAACAAGCAGCTTGTCAACTCCAGCGCCTGTGAATTCCTGTGGCAAGTGTAAAAAAGCAGTTAATATGTTGTTCTATTTTAAAAGCTGTTTTTTTATGACGGCCGTCTCTCTAGTGGGGCATCCCTCCTCTCCGCCACGGCACACAGGGGGTGTGTGTCCCCTACACCCCCTGCTCGGGAGCTGGAGACCAGACCCGGGCGTGGGGTGGCGGGGGAACTGGGCCGGGCAGGAGGTCAACACCCCAGGGAGCTCCGGCGGCCGCTGGGCAAGCTCAGGGGCTTTCCATTGTGCCCTGGAGGGGGCGGTCCTAACCCTCCCGCCGGCCCGGGGCCGGAGCGGCGGGCCGGGGCGGTGCAAGGCCCCCGTGGGGGCTGGCCCGGGGCCGGGCCCGGGACCGGGGCGGCGGCGGAGCCGGGGTTCAACCTCTCCATCCCGCGGTAGCCATGGCAAGAGGGCCTCCCGAGAGGTGCCCATCGCCACACGCGGGCCCGACGATGTGGAGCTGTGCCTGCCCCCCCGTGAGTGATTGGCGGGGCGGCACCGGGCGGGACCGGGTGGGATGGGGACAAAACCTGTCGGGAGGGAACGGGACCGAGCGGGTCGGGATGTGACGGCACGGGTCGGGTCGGGAGGGGACGGGACGAGTTGGGTACCGGGATAGGTCAGGTCGGGTCGGTACAGGTCGGGATGTAAGAGGACGGATCAGGACAAAACGGGTCGGGTGGGATCGGATCCGGGCCGAACAGATCGTGATGGGGTCGTATCAGGACGGGTCGGGTCTGGTCAAGCCCAGGGCTCAGGACGGGTCGGGGTTCGAACGGGGGTGCCGGGGCGCGGGGTCTCTGCCCGCCCGGGGGTCCCGCTCCGCTCCAGCCCCGCTCTCCCCGCAGGCGTACGCGGCGGCGGCGCCCCCCGGGCCCGGGCGGCTGCTGAAGGCCGGAGCCGCAGTGCTGATCGCTGGAGCGCTCCTGCTCCTGGCCGGAGCCATCGGCGCCTTCTACTTCTGGAAAGCCACGGAGCAGCAGGTGAGCGCGGCTGGCGCCGGGCCCAGCGGCACGTCCGCACCCGGAGGCGGGCGGGCTTGGAGCTCTTGCACGTACGGAGAAGGCATGGGCTGGAAACTCTTCTTGCGAGGTCTATAAAGAGGTCTTTATTTTTCTCTTGTATTTTTTTTCCATGCTTTCAAAAATTTCCAAACACCTAAAATCCAAACCATAATCGCTATCTGTGGTGGCTGTTTGGATGGAGCTTCCTGGAAGCACATTTACTAGCAAACACGAAACATCTTTGAAAGCACAGATGCTACATTGATTTCTGCTTGCAAATGCTCAGTGAACTCAAACCCCAACAAGACCCTGGGGATTCACATCCTGGGCAAGCTCCAGCTCTCAGGACAAAAAAAGCATTGAAATGTGTAAATTCCTTTTTCACATCATCTGCATTCTTGATCCACATTCTACCTAGACCCTCAAGTATATAATGCTATAATTAACCCAGTAACAGGCACCATTATTTCACTCTGATGCTTTGTATGACTGTGCATACACTTAGGCACTTTTGCTTAGCAGCTGTGGAGCAATTTTTAAAGTCTCGGTAAGTTTTGTTATTTACAGTTTCCGGGGCACACGTAAAACCCATGAAAATGAGAAGCTGTTGGTCAGTGTAAGAACCAAACCTCAGAGCATTAGAACATGTTTACAGATTAACTTTTCTTTCTGTTTACATAGTATTTTTGTTTAAAGCATATTTGAGACATGATGGTACACACATAAATGTGACTTACTCCATAAATTAAGTTAGTATCCTTGAATTTACCTTGGAAGAAGTTTTGTGCTGCCTCTGGTCACACGCCAGTTCTCATCAAGGAGAGCCTTGTGTGAATTCCAGCAACCAGAGCAGAAGTTCCTCTGTGAGACACACCCACACACAGAGCGATAATTCAGATAATCAGAAAGAAAAGTACAAGGTTTTCCCCCAGAAAGGCAGGACACGCTGCTGACCTCCAAGACATGCTGCAAGAGCCATCTACTTCTCTAGGCTTTTGAAAAGAGAGAAGGACACAAATGGGGATACAGTGCATTCAGCTCTGAGGAGGTGGGTGCACTTATGGAGTACAGGACAAAGTTTCACCTTTTTTTATTGCTCCCATCATCTAAATTCAGCCTTGCAAAATATGTCACATTCACAGGAGTCATTAAGCTTCAATGTTGATCTCTAGATGTGAAGTTGATCTCCCAGTAAAGACACTGAGAAACCTGAGAGTTATTTTTCCAAGCTGCCTTCAATCTCAGAAGGCTGCAGTTGACTTGCAAATGTTTAGGAAGCAACTGTAAAAATTATATTCAGGATCATTCATTAAAAAAATAAGGCATTTTTTAATCCTTATTTTTATTTTATATTTTTAAATTCTTCCTTAACTGACAGGGGTATCAAAGTCTCTACTCAAGCTCAGCCCCTATCAGGGGAGGCCACATAGATTGGTCTGGTTCTATGAACCACATTCAACAGGAGTCCTAGACAGCTAAGAATATGGGAATGACTCTGTATAACTGAGGAACCATGAATCTTTAGCACCTTAGACTTTCTTGAGCGAAGGTGAGAGAAGAAGAAATTTGTCTCTAGCTGTCAGTGTAAATTTTTCATTAAAATGCTGCAAAGGCTCTTTTAAGACCCAAAATAAACTGCTTGTGCAGCACTTCTGGCAGAGCTGCACAAGAGAATCACAAAAGCCCTCCACAGATTGTGGTCCTCCAGCAAATACAAACCACGCTGCAGCTTTCCTCATTGAAAATAGGATAAGAGCAAATACGCTGACAAGGAAAATACAAGCCTATACAACTTCACATCCAATTTAAACAAAGTTCACATCCATTACAAGCTGGGAAGCATGTTCGTATTCAAGAGGAACCTGTTTTTCTGTGCCTCAGCAGAACATCCTAATACATAAATAGGGGTTGGTCTCCTTCAGAGTAGGATATTCGCTCCTGCTTTCCTTTGGGAATCATGCCAGCATAACAAGCAATTCCTAAAATATGACCTAGAAGAAGGTTTTTAGGTCAGAGTGAACCCGGATGTGGACTCACATTGTTTTTGAGTAGAACTGTGAGCACTCCCTGGAAGGGGGACCTCAGGAGGTCTCTAGTCCAACCTGCTGCTCAGAGCAGGAACAGCTGTGGGGTCAGAAATGGTTCCTCAGGGCTTTATCCAGTTGGGCCTTGAAAACTTCCAAGGATGGAGACTGAACAACCTCTCTGGTCTAGCTGCCCCACCACCAGCCTGCCCCGATGGTCCAGTAGTGCAGTGTTGATTGTTGGAGGGTTATCAAATGCTTACAGAAGCAAAAGTTAGAAGGGATATGATAGTCAGACTGACCCACTGCCCAGTGTAGGAGGAAAGCAACAAGCAACTACTAGCATGTGCTATTGCTCTTTTTTCAATTCCAGGTGTACAACGTTCACTACACTATGAGCATTAATGGAAAAGTACAAGATGGATCAATGGAAATAGATGCTGGAAATAACTTAGAGACATTCAAAACAGGAAGTGGGAATGAAGAGGCTGTTGAAGTTCATGATTTTCAGATCGTAAGTACTGTCACCCTTGTCCTTCATGCTCCACTGCTGGACTCCAAGGACACCTTGCCCTGCCCTGACTTCTCTGCCCCAGTCAGTCTCAGGCTCCAGCCTCCAAACATCCGCACAAACATTCTTACTCTCCTGGCTTGCTTTTACAGGGAGACAGGCAGTTTCCTCCTAAACAAAATCTAAGTGCTTTTTGGGAATAAGCCATGCCATGTACCACTCCGGGAAGTAATATGGATCAGGCTACATCAGATTTGGCTCCATGTTAACACTGCATTTTCACACCACTGAGCAGAACTACAACATGCAACCTTGAGATCTTGCTAGAAAAACATTCTGGCAGGCTGTGAAACAACCCTTGCATGATTTCCTGTCATTTGAACTGGAAAAACCACCTCCCCAAACATACTTGTTTTAGGAGCATAGGGTCAAGACAGTAAGCCAACTAGACACCAAGGAGAGACCACTATACAGTGCTTGACCTGGGGAGCTTGCTCTGCCCTGAGATCAAGGATGGGAACTGCTCTCCATGGCTTGGCCTAAGTTCATCCCCAGGGGAAAGGATGGAGGCATTTAGCACAGATTATGCATCCATTCACCAAATGCAAGGTGCTGGGTCACTTGGATTGAAGCAAACACATTTGGGTACACCAGCAACTTGGCTGTGGCTGCTCAGCACAGAGTCTGGACCAAACAGATGCCAAATCTCAGCACAGTTCAACAGACTGGACAGAGTAGTTCACTGACCTGTACTACCCCTGAGCTACTAAAGGCACATCTATGTGATGCTGCAGAAACCCATTTACAGGGCCCAGACTCTGCAGTTAATGTTCTCAGGCGCAAAACAATCAACTTCAGAGTTAAGTCCTCTGTAAGTCAAAGCAGCACTGAAAATAAAGATGCTGCTGCTAGGAAGCATCTCTGCCTCTGGAGCAGCCACCTTCCCCTTGCTAGATCTAAAAAGGCAGGGAAATTCAGCTCCTTGGCTTCTCAGCAAGTACAAAAAAATCCATGCCAGGAGACCCTGGACCCCAACCACAGGACCCCAACCACAGCTGCGGTTCTGCCTTTATGGAACTCTCATTAACATCACCATAGCAACATTATTAGCAGCTGAATAAGAGCATCTACAGTGAGCTCTTCTCATTTGCCACTGCGATTTCACATCCACTCAAAAGCATCAGTCCACTGGAGAGATACCAAATTCATTTTGCCTCTACATGTGTTGCTGGTAAGTACTGCCTGTCGTACCCAGGTCAGAAATCAGCTCCCAACACCAACCAGCTAAAAGGACCTCTCAGGGACAGTGCCTGCTTGTAATTACAGAGAGCCAGGACCAGGCTCAGTGAGAGCAAAGGGATGCTGCCCCTTGGGTTTTGAGCCAAGAATGCACAAAAAGGTGAAAGCAATCAAAGAGATGTGCTTCCAATGGATTAGTATTTACATCAGTAGCTTTCGATTGACTGGCATTGCTGGAATGACTGCACAGTCAGTGAAGGCCTGGATTTGGCAATATTAGGGTACTCCTAGCATGCTTGGTGCATCACAAAGCCTTATTTCCTAGTGCACCCATCCCTGCACAGCCATCCCCTCTCTTACTGCTCAACAATTAGTCACTTTGTTTCGATGGGGGTGTGCCTAGCTATACAGGACCTGCAACATACAGGACATGACTCAGGTGTCCCAGTACCATCCATCTCATGCTGCACTAGATGGCCAGGGCACCCACGATGCCCCTTCAGGGCAGGTGAGAGGGGCCATGCTGACACCCATGCCCCCTTGTCCTGGCAGCTAGAGGCCAGGCAGAAAACTAGCACATCTCAAAAGGCACTAAGTAATTGTATTTCAGTGGTTGGCTGGAGCATGTGCAACTGTATGAAAAACAAGAAGTTTCGTCATTTACAACAAGGTATCTAAATTTATAACATAAAAAAAGAGTTCTTTTATGGATAACCAAATCTTACAGCAGAAATGTAGAAACTACAGACAAGGTTCCCATTGCAAAATGTTGATGCCTGAAGTTCTGGCACAGGTCTGGAAGGTACACCCCAAGACTTTCTGGAGACTTGCTCCCTCTGGAGCTCCTTCTCTTGCTTAAAACTAGACATCCATGGTTTATGCAATTGTGTTTCACCCTAGCAGGCGAGACGAAGTCCCACACACAGATTTCTGCACCAAATTTCCCATCACGAACTTCCCCTTGCTGTCACAGCCACTTACGTGTATAAATTGAACTAAGCTGCCCCCGTATTTTTGTAAATCTGTGTCACAAGGGTACCACACCACCAGCTAACACAACTTTGAGACTTCCTACGTTAGGTGCTAAGTTACAGTTCAAATCATGTCAAGTAATTCCTTAACAGAGCTACTCCAAGTAGCCTACAGCTTCCATGGAAGCACTTACATAAAACACCCCCCACTTTCAGAAATGAAGCAAAAACTTCTAGACCCATTTGACCAAAATTGTGAAGTAAATGATGAGAGAAGAGTGTTTTATTGCATCTGGTTTTAAATAAGATTAGCATTCAAAATGAAAATTCAGTGGCAATTTTAGCAGAGCTGAGGCGCTTTCTTGGGGTAGCGAGGAGCTGGAGGGCTGTGCACAACCCTCTGCCTTCTGCTTTTGCAGGGCATAACTGGGATCCGTTTTGCTGAAGGAGAAAAGTGTTACATCAAAGCTCAGCCAAAAGCTCACGTCCCCGAAGTTGATGCTATGACTAAAGCGAGCCTCTCATCTGAGCTGGTAAGGGGTAATCTAATTATTTACTTTTCAACTACTCTTTGTACAGAGAGGGTCTTAAAGTGGTATTTAAATACAACTAAAAATGAGATTTGAAAGCCACTGTGGCTAGTTGTAGGGTTGTTGAGGATAGTGAATGACAGTTGAGGATTCACTGACTGGTTGCAAGGGGTCCCTGAAAAGCAAGATTGGTGTCAGGCATGTCACTGTGTCCAGGGACATCGTGAGAGGCTGCAGATTAGTGAGTGGGGAAGCCACAGACCGATCTCTAACAGATCCATAGGAGACCTCCATGACAAAAGCACCTGCTTGAGAATAGGCTGTGCACAAGGCTGGAAGAGAGAGCATGGAAGAAGCAGCTCTTTAGTCAATGCAATCATGGTAGATCCCAGGAGATTTCTATCAATGCTCTTGAACAGAAGCATGGACTCCATCACTCAAGCCCTCTGAAATAGTCAATAAAAGGGAATTGTGGAAAATATGGCAAAAATTCAGGTAACTCAGAAGAAAGAAATTGCCTTCTTAGTGTCAAACAATTTTACAACATGGCAACTAAATTTCATAGAATCTGCATCACAGCCAGAAAAAAGGCTGCAGTTCTCACCCAGATACCGCCAAACTGTCTCCTCACCTCACTTTTGCAAAAACAGCCTGTAGCTTTATGTGCACAAAGTCTGAGTTTCCCAGAGCTCAGACCCCCAAACCCATCTCTCACACAGAAGTGGCTCCAGTGACTTGAGTATAGCTGAGCCTGGACACTGGTGGGGGCTCAGCTACTGTCAGGAGAGCACAGGAGATTCACAACCTCTTTTCCTAGGTTTGCTCTGGTCCCAAGAGAATAAAAGCAGATACAATTACCAAGGAGAGAGGCGCTGTTAAGGCTGTACCTACCTGCAATGGTGCTGTGATTACTGAACATCTACTTCAAAACTAAGGGGAAAAAGGTCTCCAAACCAAGTCAGCAAGGCAGCAGAAATGTCACAAAGCCCCCTGAAGCTGGTGGAATTTTCCCCATGGTGGGAAAGAGAACTTGCACAAATTCCAGACAGAGAGCTCCGTCTTTCCTGCCTTGCCTTATTTTAAAGGCAGCTGGGCTTTTTGTCTTCACTAGCACTACTGCCTAAAGATAAAGTTTGAATTTTTCATCTCTTTGTAAGAACAAAGTCATAGACCTGAAGACATTATCCTAAAACAGTCAAAAAGTTATTTCTAATACTTTACCTGGTGACAACAAGCCTGTTTCCTTGTCCTGTTTTTTGTGCATTTTCTCCAAAGATGCATCACCTACATGAACGCTGCAATGAATTGTATGCACCGAGGCCAAAACAAGCAGGCAACTCAGTGCTATCATTAATCTTTCCCTGACATTCGACTTTCCAGGCTAGATGTACAACAGGAATGGCAAAATAGTACTTATTTTTCCTAGAGCAAGTCCTCTCTCTCATATGCAAGTATTTGGGAGAAAGTATGCATGTGCTGTTTTCTTCTAACACGTATCATAACATTGCTTAAAAAAATGGTTGAGTAAAGTGAGTTTTATAGATACCCAAATTCTGTCCGCTCACAAGTCAGGATCATCTCAAACAAAAACAAAGGGTATTTTTATTTCTGAAAACTAGACTTAGATATTTCTGATGTTGATAAAAGCTTAAGTGAGAGAATATAAATAAAGAGCAGTAGACAGATTGGAAAGCAAACTTAAATGACTTGAGACCTACAAAAGAAATCAATAAACACACTAAAGAAACAACAACCCAAGGGAATAAATTGATCTAGTCAGTTATATAACAAGTTTTGACGACTTTTATGAAAGCAATTTAGAATTTTAACTTTGAAACCATACTGGTTTTCATGATTCAAAAGTTGGTTTTCTTTTAATATTTCACTGTTGCTATAAAATACTTACACATTTTATGTAAAATAATACTTTGAACTAACAACTTTAAAGAATCAATCACTGGCATTTTCCTGCATTACTTTGAAGATATGAACCAAAAACCTGCAGGGTACACTTCAAAAAGGCAGGCTCCTTTAACTTGCACTTCAAGTTTTTGGTCAATTGAATTGCTTTTACCAAACAAGACCTTTAATCAGACCGATCACGTTGACTTAGAACTGGAAGCTGGAGCAGCTCTCAAGCTATAATCCTCTCTAAAACTTCTGAACAAGATTCCGCCCCCCATCCCCTGCACACATTGTAAATACAGTTATATTGGGAGTACATCAAATGTGAACGGGGCATAATAAAAGATTAGGGGCTTGGGTTTTGCTGGAGTATTTCATTGCTGCTTTGCTGAAGGTGGTAAATCTTCACAGTTTCTACCACCTGGAATACCGATGCTTTGGGCTAAAAAGATCTCTGACACCCAGCCCACGCACATGGGGCAAAAGCCTTCCAGGAGTGAGATGGGTGAAATCACAGCCCCAGTGAAGCTGACAGTAGTTTTGCCCTTTGTTTCAGCTGCGGCAGCCTTTCCCCAGGCCTTGGCTCTGTAAAGGCAGTTCACATTCATGCAACAGAAGGATGCTCAGTATTAGTTGCAGCGGGTGATTATACAGCTTGGTGCTCAAGAACTAACAGAAAGCAGGCACATGACTGCCCACTGAGCAGCAAAGGATTTACACTCTTCTATTTGCAGGAAGATGAAATCATGCCTGTGAGATTTGACAAAAATTCCCTTATCTGGGTGGCTGCAGATGAGCCTATCAAGCATAACAGCTTCCTAAGCCCCAAAATTTTAGAGCTTTGCGGGGATCTTCCAATTTTCTGGCTGCGACCAACATATCCCAAAGGTAACACTTCTTTTATTTAAAAAGTATTTTATCCCTCCCTTCATCTAAATGCCTTCCCAACATCATGTTTGCCACTGAAACTTGCACATCTGGGAAACCAGACTCCTCTCCTCCCTTGCCCAGCCTGTTTTCCCATGCCTTTGTGGGTTCATGCCGAGATTGGGGGTTTGAAGTTTATCCATTAGAGATTTTCCATATTTGTATTTCCTCAGACAATTTATACAGCCCATGTGGGTGTCTATGAGATGAAACATTCCCAGAGAAATTAGCCTCCTTCCTCAGAATGACAAGAGCTCAAACTAGCCCCCAAAACATTGAAGTAGCTGACACCAGGTAGCAGGAACATTATACCTGGCCAAGAGTTGGGGAATATCAAGCTCCTAGCCTGGGACCATAGCCTGTCCTGTTTCCTACCCTGCTTCTCCAGAGGATATCAGTGGAGTGGAACGATGAGATGCTTTAAGCTACCCAACTGGTGGATGGTTTGTGAGGTTCTGGGGGCAGTCCCAACACTGAAGTACTCTTGTCACCCAGAGCCAAGTTTAGCAAAGGAGTTCAGGAGTCACGAGGGAGACAGCAACTTCTCCAGGTGACTTCCAGGCCTAAGAGGAGAGAAGGCTTGTAAAGATTTATTCTTCCTTGGTCCAGTTAATATCAGAACACTTGGGGAGGACAACACAAGCCAAAAAAATTCACCACATTTCAGAGCACCTGTGGATCCAAGCTACCAACATTTTCCACTTTCCTCATGACCTTGCCTATCCCACTGAGCAACAAAAGAGCAGTATCAAAGCCGTCCAGAACCTGTTCCACCAGGTTCCCCAGCTGTCCTTGAGAGTAGGGCACCATTCTGGAATAAAATCATTTTTAGAAAATGAGATGTGTATGACTGGTCTTGCTAGTGCTAGCGACTGCTGCTGACTTGGCATCAGTGACCATGGGGTGGGTCAAAAAACCCCCAACCAATCTTCTCACACACATTTTGCCTCAAGGAGGGGAAGAGGGGAGAAAAAAAGGTAATCATACTGTTTTGGATTGACACTGGCTGCAGATACAACAAAGAAAGGCAAGCAGCTCCCATGGGGATGCTCATGGTTTACTAACGCACAGCTTTGGCTTTCTCTCTGCCCTCCATCCTCTCCTTTTTTCAGTATTTAAAGAAATCACTGAAACATTAGATAAATACAAGGAACCTTCTGTTTATCTTTACTTTGAATGTTCAAGATTATCCTCTGGTGATTATTTCTTCAGATAACCAAAGGAGAGAAATGAAGAGAAACAAGCGCCAATCAGGATCAAACTTTGATGAGGAAGACTTGGAAGCTGCTGCTGAAGAAGTAAACCCCAGGTCACCTACAGTGCAACTGAGTCAAGAGCTTGATCACCAGTTTAACGACACCAGGCCAATGGGACGAGAAACAGATCAAACATTTAATCCAGACAACCCATATAATGTAAGTATTCGCACTGCAATCTTCTCTCAGAGCTCAGATGGTGATGCGGGGTTTGTCTTTTTTTTTTTAATCTGCACAATTTTGCCTGTTCAGCTTTACTCTGAAATAACACACTTGCAAAACACCTAAGAAGCTCTTCTCCAGTTTTGATTAGATTTCAGTCTGAAACAAGTACAAGTGCTTGAGATCACAAGGTTAAGGTAAGTTGATGACAAGTTGCTTTTTGGGGTTTCCAGGTTCATATGGAAACAGCACTGGAGATCTGACAAGGATAGCACCTTCTGAAAACAAACCAAAGCTGGTCGATAGCTGAACCCCATCATTTACTATGAGAGAGAGTCCAGTAGCTAGAAACATGCTTTGCTCTGAAACAAATTAGTATCACAAGTGACTACTACAGAGGAAAGCAGTAGCAGTGTCTGATTGCAAAGAGATTATGGTCCAGCCAAATAAATTTGTTTTTCTCAGCCTCTTCTCTATCAGGGTAAGCAACTCTAGTCTAGCAAGCAACTGGCAGAGAAGAATCTGTTTAGACAGCAACAGTGGATGGAGGACGACTATCATAAAACTCGTTCTCACCCTTTGAGAAGCAGCAGCCCACAGAAAGAGCACAGGAGCCACCCTGCCGTGTCCCAACACCTCTGCTGCGCTGCAGGAAAGCTGGCTGTACAGTAGGCACCTTCTGTGCACCAGCGCCAGACAATTTACACCCATCATTTGGTGCAGCAGGAATAAGTCATTTTAATACAACACTGTCACAAGATAAATGCCTCCTGCTTTGGAAGCAAGTCCCAGCTTTGACTTGACATTTATGCAACAGCAGGAGATCATTATACTGTGACAGCATTCTGCAGAGTTGACATCCCTTAATTAAACTTAAATTAATCACTCCAAATAAAGTGGATCTAAATCGACTCTCTCATGAGATAGTAAAACAGCAGTGGCACTGGAAGGTAACTTCTCACAGCTACTGACATGAACATGTCCATGAGGTCTGAGCTGCCCCACCCCTGGAGGGCAGTGGCAGAGCAACTGCCACAGGTCTGTTCTTCCAGCCAAGGGCTGACAGGCCAAATGGAGAATGGCCAGCCAGATACTGGTCATCAGACTTCCCTCAGCCTGCAGAGCAGGATTCACCTTCACCAACAGTTACTGCACAGATGCCGATATCCAAGCTTCCTTAGAGATCAAATAATTTGATTTAAAAGGACCATTAGTAATACTGTAAGTCTTTCCTGAAGGATTAAATGAATCCTCCCTAGAGCTATTTCTCTTCACCCACTGTAAGTGGAGCCTGGACAACGAGCTCAGGTGTAGAAGTTCACAGTGCAGGTATCTGAATTCAAGGATGATGAATCCTGACCAAGGAAACAACATCCTCCCTGCTCCCAGGACTGGGAATGAGTTGCTGGGGTCCCAAACAACACCCAGCTGTCACCAGTGTCCTGTACCCCAGTCAAGAGATGGCACCTTTCCATGTCCCACCTTTTTGTTGTGCTGCTAGTTTTATGAATGACGAATGCTCAGGTAAAAAGCTGACTGGTACTTCAGTATTTGCTCTTTGCTGCTGCTTTTCTTGAAATAACACCAATGGGCAAAGAACAACTGAGCTTCAAAAAGCAGAATATCCAGGTTACCTTTTTCCCACAGAAAGGAGGAAAGGAATTTTGAAGGGTAAAGGCTTTTATGTATGCTTTGCTCCATTTAACTCCTTACTGTCAACTACAGAACAGGCAGAATTCTCACTGTCCACAATGCATCTAAGTGTGGTGGGAGTGGGAGGGAAGGAAGCAGACAGAGACAAGAGAGAAATACTCAGAAAACTGCAGGGGACCAGGGGAATACCTTAAAGAGTAGTTTCCTAGGAATGCTGTAAAAATCATTAAAATACAAAAATTAAAACAAAACATAAAAGACACAGCATATACTTCAGGCATCATCACCTACACAAAAGACTCAGATAACTCTTGAAATCTTTTTCATCACTAATATTTAAAACTTGGGAGCTTTCTGTTGCTGGATCTTTTGCAAGGACTGTAGAAGAAAAACAAGGAAGTTAGAGCTGCCTGTTGTTCCTTTCATTTTACATGGGTGATTGCACCAATTCTCCACTTCTGCCAAAGAGAGCAAGACAAAAGAAAAAAAAATAATAAAGCAAGATGTACGGGTCACTTAGTGGGAGCTTAGTTAACTTCCACAGGCCCAAGATTTCAGTTTTTACCCTTTGTGGGGTTAACAGGAGCATGGGTTTGTTCTGCCATTCTGTGAGAATGAGAGCACCGGGATGACATTTAATATTTTACATTTCAGCAGCTGGAAGGTGAAGGGATGGCTTTTGACCCCATGCTGGATCACCTGGGCGTGTGCTGCATTGAATGCCGGCGCAGTTACACACAGTGCCAGAGAATCTGCGAGCCCCTCATGGGCTACTACCCGTGGCCTTACAACTACCAAGGGTGTCGCACCGCCTGCCGAATCATCATGCCTTGCAGCTGGTGGGTTGCTCGTATCATGGGTGTTGTGTGAGAGAAAGCCTTGACAAAAAAAAATCTTTAAAAAAATCAGGAGACTTGACAACATAAGCAGGAATTGCAATGACGACAAACTGGTAACAGACTACAACCAAAGCAGCAGTACCGATCCTGGTTTTCAAAATCAAAGTATGTTTTACTGCACCAGAAGCAAGGTCAGATATTCTAACTTCAAATTAAAATCTTAAGTTAATATTCTATTAGATTTACAAGTGACAAGGGTATATTAGCACTTGCTGAACTAAAAAACTGAGACTTAATTCCCCAAAAAAGACAATAATAAACTTTGCTCACAAACTGGTTTAGCAGTCCAGAACCTTGCCTATAAACTCAGCCTTTCGTAACAAAATCCTCTCTTTCCAAGCTACATGTGAGAATTTACATCCAATTAGGCAACTAGCTCAACTTGTACACTTGGGAGTGCCTTTCATCCATGCAGCTTACTTAAATAAATCACAAGTTAAGTTGCTCCCCGTTAAGTTGCTCCCCGTTGCTATTTGGAGTTGCCAGGTCATTATGAATGGTTATAAACCAATTACAGCATACCTTTCCCCCAAAGCTGCTCCAGGGGACACGGGAAAGCACACATTGTGCTAAATCGGAAACAAACAGCAGGAAAAGGGGCTGTAGAAGGGAATGTGCGTGGCTGCAGAATCAAAACCCTTCGCACATCCCAACATCAAAGAAGCCTCAGCATTAAGAATCTTGTATCCATGATACCACTGTAGTGTCTAACAAGTATCTGCTATCCAGTTACTACAGCAAGAGTATTTACATGCAGTTGCAGACCAAAGAGCCTCAAGGCCCTTCAGAATCTGCAACAGCCACTGTTATTTATAAATCCTTGAATTAGACACTTTTGACACAAGATTACCACCCCTCTTTATTCCACATGGATAGCAGCCATTCAGACTAGCTCCTTTAGCTTCACTGAAACTAACCTCCGTTCCCTGAAGAGAAACTGCTTTCCAGCAAGGAGAACAAAAAAAAAAAAAAAGAAAGAAAAAAAAGAAAAGGGTTTCTCATCTCACCCTTTTTGGTTAGGCAAACTCTGCAATTATTGGGATTGATCCTATTAGATGTTAAACCTCTAAGGAAGGTACTAAGCCAAAATACTCAAAGATGGAATGACTTAGAATTGACTAGCCTTGAAAACCAAAGACAGAGGTATTATACTGCCTTCATCCATACTATACACCCTGAACCCTACCACCGAGTTTATGGAGCCATCTAGATGGTCTTTATGAACAAAAGGGTCCAATTTTTCTTAAAGTTCACTTTCTGGAGCATTCACTTTTTTGACTAAACAGCTCTTGAGATGTTGCAAGCCCAGTAATGTTATTAACACTGCGTGATACACAGAAAAGAGGAATTAATTTGACATAATCATGGCTTAAAGAAAATAAAGACAACCTCATGTGAAATGCTAAACTGCATATCTAAAAAGCAAAGTGTTAAATGAGAATAAGATGAGACTAGAATTCAGTATTTTGTTCTATTGTAGCTTTTTTAATGTAAGCTTCACCTTCCCTTAATCTGAAGGACAGACTCGCTTTGAAATATTTAAATTATAAACTTCTTAAAGTGGGATTTCAAGGCCTGTTAAATTTGAGTTTCTCCTTTTTAAACTGAAAATGACCTTGATCATTATGTTGTTTTAGCAGTATGTCATTCGTATGCTTAGAAAAGTCAGGTTTCCTTTTTTTTTTTTACTGCACATTAAACAAATACATTAAAAAACAACAATCGCTTTCTGTGCCTTTTTCAATGTAGAAACTGTAACAATTCCTTTACATACTCGTTCAAGAACTGTCTAGAGAGGAAAGGAAGGGGATCAGCAAGTGAAACACTGAAGGCAAAAAAGAGGGAAATATGACTATAGCTGAACTAGACTGTTGCTGTCTTGCATCTTGAGGCAACCTGTGACCTGCTTCTCTCTGTCTCCCCCCATAAAACAAAGTCTCCTTCTGAAGACACAGAAAACCTTTTTGTAGGTGATTTACCTGTCTACACATTCTTAAGAAAATTGATTCTTCCTAAACAAAAGCTTGCATCAGCTGCTTTCTATAGGCAGTCACAAAGCATGCAAGAAGTGAAAAAAGCATCCTACTCATGGATGCGTTAAACTGTCACATACGGCATGTATGTCTCAAGAACACTTCTGTATGCACAATGCCAACAAAGCCTGAGTGATCATAAAATTTATCCATTTCCAAAAGATATGCAACAAAATGCCATCCTCAACTCAAGCTTCAAACAAGCAAATTCCTATTTACCTTCATACCAGATTCAAGGAAAGAAAAGTAAAGATCTTGTGCTGCAGCAAGGTTGAAAAGTCTTACTTCAGTACATCATCTAATTTTGAAGGAAAAGTTCTGAGGTGACACAGGAACAACAATAAAACCAACAAGCCAACAGTATGAAAAGACACAGTGATATTCCCTGCAGTGGTGGCTCAGACTCCAGCTCTAACTATCTGGAGCGATCCGATTCACTACTATATGGTATTTACTACCCATGCTGAAGTTTTTCACTGCCACCACAAATATAATACCTTGGCATACTAAAGGCATTCCAACACTTCAGCATTTGGAGGGGGTGGGATTTTCCTGCAATCTGACCCTGTGCTAGAAGAAACCTTTTGACCAAAGTTTAGGGAAGGAGGAGAGAAAGAGGAATGACCTTGTCATCAACAGTATTTCCCACTACAGGTGGGGGGATGTTTGTCAGAGCACTGCAATTCTACTATCCTTAAAACTTAATTACCCATGTGATTGTGTACTAGGAGGATTAGGATGGCACAACAGATTAGAGCAGAAAAAGGGGATAACTTCAGGCTGGTGGAAAAGAGAAGGAAAACGGGAAGCAATGCCATAGGGTTAAAAAGACTGAAAGCCAGTGATGGGAAGGCAGAAGTCTCTTTTCTGAACCTACAGTTTGCTTTCTCCCCACTTAAAACAAATGAACCAGAGTCTCTCTCTTTGTCCTTTTTGATACAGGAATCACCCTCCACTTGTATGTACATTGAAAAATCAATAAGAAGCTGGAAGGCATGGAAGTGGGGGTAGGGGAAGGAATCTGTTTTCTGCCTCCCACGTAACACTTCACTCCTACTGCAGCACAAACAAATTCCAAGGAAGTTTCAGTGATCTTTTATAAACATTGTACCTATACCAAAGATGAGAGATACAGCCTTAAGCTGCAACACAGGCATCTTCCTCCAGACCAGGAGCAGAGTAACCCCATCTGTGGTGTTAAACGGCAAATCTACCGTTACCTCTCACTGTCCTGTTCCCATGTTTGCAACAGATGCACAAATCAGAGCACTGAGGTGAAACTACCTGGGTCTTCTAGACAGTACTATTTACGGATGACCAAAAGGCTTGGGGGAAAAAACCCTCAAGAGGTTTGAACACAACTAAAACATCATCCACTCTGTCCTTGTAGGCACTCATTGCCACTGTATCTTTCAGAGCCTCTATTCAACCTCCAAGTTCCCGCTAGCTTTCTCTGGACCTAGGGCTTCTGGAACTGTTCTGCCTGCGTTTTGTCAAGAACAAAACATACTGTTCACAAAGTTCATGAAGCACCTTCTCCCCAGCTCTGTAAGGAAATTTTGCCTACTGCTTTAATCCAATCCCCTCCAAACAGAAGAAAAATTCAACACACGCATCCTCACATTCCCCTTTCCCAAAGGCAAAAAGAGCTGCATTACTAGTTCACCTAAATTCTAAGGTGGAACACACACAGATTATCTGCCTGTGCTCAGAAACATGACAGAATTATGTTTAGACCTGCAAACTTGGTTTACAGGATTGAGATGGACAGAGCACTCTACCACTTGATTGCTACAAGTTTTAGCCTGAAGCTAAAGCATTATATTTGCATTACATATGCCTCAGGAGTACATAAATAGCAATGCATTTTATTTTACTTTTTGCCTTAAGCTACGTGAATTGAATCTCAAAGCAGTGAAACAGTACCCACTTAATACAAGAATATATTGTGCTTATCTGACGAAACACTCCCATGGTCTTTCAGTAAGTGAAACTAGACAGAGGAACTTCTACTGTGTTCTCTTCAGTAAGTAAGAGCAACTTGACTGGCAGAAAATATCCTCACATTACTTTTTAATTTCTATTTAAGAGATTTTTATCTAGGCTTTTGCCCATAGCAAGCCTTCGCTAAGCACTGTTAAGTGCTCCAAATGACATTTATAAAGCAAGGCTGGCCAGGAGACAAGAACCCAATTTTCTGACAAAGAGAAGCACTCAGACATTTGTCTTCCTTCTACACTAGAAAGGAAGAAATGCTTTTCAGAGCATAAATAAAAAGCAGCAAAGCACTTATCCAGGAGAATTGAGTTCAAGTACCTATCCCAAATCAAGTCAACTTCAATGTTAGGATCCCATATGGATGGCAAATGCTCTACATGTTGAGCTACTCAGAATTCTCTGAAGGTCAAGAAAAGCTCCACTGAAGCTAACAAATCACTGAAACAGGCCACAAGTATATTCTTTGAGAAACTCTTCCAAGAAGCAGATGTTGTTCAGTAAGTGCCAAGAGGTAAGGTACACACAAAGCCATTCCTAAATCCAATCTACCCCAGTTCATAGTGTTCAAAGAGCAGTGTGACATTCAGTTCTGAAGGTTATCAAATTTGAGCTTTGGAAAAAACAAATTAATTCTGAATCCAGAAGTGATGCAAAAGAAACCGCTGCCCAGCTTGCACTATAGGATTATCAGGATCAGAGTGCCTGAAGAAACTGCAGTTATGTCAAGACTGTAGTCACAGCTACAGTTGCCCACTATGACTATCCAAAGTTCATTGCTACTGCATACATCCAAAAACAAACTCTCGTTTTGGGATTTGTGAGACTTTAAAATTTTGGTATCTCTCTACTGTACAGGCATAGTAACAACAGTAGGAAAAAAGCCACTGCACTTTCCCAGCATCACTGCAAAATCTAGATTCCCGTTCCTCAGAAAGGATAG